CAGGTCTTAAAGGCGTATGTCTCCAATACTGGCTGTATCCCTGAACACACAAAGATCTACCTAGCTCTTCTAACCATCACGCTCTTGCTATGGCTCTAATAGCTCTGACCCCAGGGCAACTTTATTTATTAACATAAAATTAAAATCACATTTCAGTACAAATAAAATATCACCATAGGGAGAGAGAGGGTGAGAGAGAGGGGAGGGAGAGGGAAAGAGGGGGAGGGAGAGAAGGAGAGGGAGAGAGAGAGAGAGAGAGAGAGAGAGAGAGAGAGAGAGGACTGCGTGGAGGGGGGAAGGACAGACGGAAAGAGAGAGAGTGAGGAAAAAGAGAACGCACAGCGGGCCCACCAGCTTTTTAGCCTGGGACGCCATCACAGGCTGGTGATGTAATTAAGGACATAATCCTTACAACCTGGGGAAGGGCTGATGCAGAGGCCATGGAGGAACACTGCTTACTGGCTTATTCCTCATGGCTTCCTTGGTTTATTTTCCTAAGTAGCTCAAGACCAGCTGCCCAGGAGTGAGCCTGGCCTCCCACATCAATCATTAACCCAGAAAACACACCACAGGCATTTTCTAAACTGAGATTCCCTCTTTACAGATAACTCTGGCTTATATCACCTTGACAGAAAAGCCAACCAGGAAGCCAGGCGGTGGTGGCACACGCTTTTAATCCCAGCACTTGGGAAGCAGAGGCAGGCGGATCACTTGAGCTCCAGGCCAGCCTGGTCTACAGAATGAGTTTCAGGACAGCCAGGGCTACACAGGGAAACCCTGTTTTGGAAAACCAAACCAAACCAATGAAACAAACAAACAGAACATTTGACCCCTTGACACACAAGTACATCAGTATTAACCCATAACCTTCCCTTTCTTGTTTGTCCCCAATGACTCATGTTAATATTAATACATTTAAAAATAGAACCCAAGTATTTAAAAATTCAAACACTCAAAAAAAAAATTCAGTTTCTTGAAATATATCCAATGTCTCCCTAAAAGCCTCAAGTCCCTTGACTGTGGGCTCCAATAAAATAAAAACAATAAGTGAAATACTTTCTTACTCCAAGAGGGAAGAACCAGGATGCTGTTGACAATCAAGTGAAAATCAAGTCCTGTAGCTCAGTGTCCCCCCTCGGGGCTCCACTTCTCCAGCTCCGCCCTCTGCAGCAGACACAACCTCTGTTCCAGACTCAGGCTGGCTCCACCCCACACTTGCTGCTGTCCCCGGTGGTCATCTACCATCCTGGCATCTCCGACATGCTGGGGTCTCCCATGACACTGAGGCTGCACCTTCACCAGCGGCCTCCTGTGCTCTCACAGTGCCAAGCCTCAGCTGCTCTCCATGACCTTCATGGCTCCCAAACAAGTACCACCTGGATGTTGCTTACACATTACCAAGTCTGGCTGCCAGGACAAGGTACAACCTTGGCCACCTTTGGGACACAGCTTCTCTGTGCTCTCAGGAAACACTTCTTAGAAGATTTCCCCTCAATGATGTTGGTCTCTTAATCACAGCCAATTCTGCAGCCCCAGCAGAGCAGAACCACAGAATCTTTGTTTTTGGTTTTTTGAGACAGGGTTTCTCTGTGCAGCCCTGGCTGTCTTGGAACTCGCTCTGTTGACCAGGCTGGCCTCGAACTCACAGATATCTACCTGCCTCTGCCTCCCCAGTGCTAGCATTAAAGGTGTGTGCCACCATGCCCAGCCCTAAAACACACCTTCTTTTATTTTCTGTAAACACCACACACACACACACACACACACACACACACACACACACACACACACACACATTCTTAATCAAACAAAGAGCCCTAACAGTCTTTGAGGGCCTCTCAAATTTCCTCTGAGACTCCACAAGCCAGGCCCTATCATCTGCCCTTCTTTTGACACTCCTGTCTCTCAAGGTCTCATAACAGATCACTGATCTCTCAACATTCAATGACTTTTCCAGTCCAAAGTTCCAAACTCCTTCCATAATCCTCCCCAAAACAACATGGTTTTGTCTACCACAGCAACACCCCACTCCTGGCACCAAATTTATCTTCGTTAGGATCTCTACTGCTGTGATGAAGCACCAGGACTAAGAGCAACTTGGGGAGGAAAGGGTTTATTTCAGTTCACAGCCTGTGGTCCATCATCCTGGAAGTCAGAGCAGGAACCTGGAGGCAGGAGCTGATGCAGAGACCATGGAGGGTGCTGCTTACTGGCTTGTTCTCCATGGCTGGGTCAGCCTGCTTTCTTATAGGACCCAGGACTAATAAAAGTAACCAGCACAAAGCCAAGGTCAGCATTGGTGCTGCTGGGTTTGGTGGTGGTCTGTTATTCAGGAAGGCAGCACAATGTTTTTTCTGATGCAATACCAAACACACTTAGCCTTAGCAATATGTAGACAAAACAGGTTTATGAATTACAGTTCTAGAGGATGTAGTCTAGGTACTAACCTTAGCCCTGCCCCCAGCCCCTCACTGGGGATTCTAGGTGGGGCTCTGTCCTGACCACGCCCCCAGCCCCTCACTGGGGATTCTAGGCGGGGCTCCACCCTGACCACGCCTCCAACCTGTTTTCTTCCCTTTTTTGTGAGACAGAGTCTGACAATACATTCAATAATCCTCCTGCCTCAACCTCCTGAGTGGCTGGAAGGACAGATGTGAACCAACAACTCCTCCCCCTCCCTGACACACACACCATTGTTTATATGGGACTCACACATCTGTGGATTTTAGTATCCATTGATGGTCCAGAATCAATCCTCCCCTGGGGCGGGGGGGATGAAGGCAGAGGTAGACTTAGGAGAAGGAAACACTGTGCAAATGAATGTTGTTGTTGTTGTTGTTGTTGTTGTTTTTAGGTATTTTATTTATTCATTTAGTATAGCATGTAGCAGGCAGAGGACAGTTTGTGGGTCCCAGAGAGTGAACTCAAGTCATCAGCTAGGCAGCAAGTGCCTTTACCCACTGAGTCCCCTCATCCCCCGTGGGCCATCGAGGTGTGACTCCCACAGCATCTGTCCAAGAATCCCTAACCACATGTGGGTCCGGGAGGAGGAAGCTGGGATGGGTTCAGTTTTGAGCTTTGTGTGGCTGTCAACTGATTGGCTGTGGCCCCCTCTTGGGAGACTTGAGCTTGGCTTAAAATGCATTGACTAAAAAGGGACACACACACACACACACACACACACACACACAGATACACAAATACCCACACATCTACAGACACACAGAAACAGACACACACTCACAGGACACACACACAGACATACAAATACACACACATCTACAGACACACAAACAGACGCGCGTGCGCACAGACACACACACACAAATACCCACACATCTACAGACACACAGGCACAAATACAAACGCACAGACAGACACACACACAGACACACATATACTCACACACACACAGTGTACAGAAACACATGTGGGCAGAATAGTCAGACACATCAATATAAACCTGAAAAACAAAACAGTCTTTCCCCATCAGTCCTGGCTGGGAGGGCTCAGCTGCCAGGACCTGAGTTCAGATCCTGGGACCTGTGATTTAAGGACAAAACAATGACCTGGGGGCTGGTGTGGGCTTCTCTTCACCGTGCTCCTTGTCTCTTCACAGGGAAGCCTACAGCCCAATAAGCTACGATGCCGAGGCCCAGTCCGACCTGCTGGTGTATTACCAGTACGAGAAACTGGGCTGCCCTCGCCTGGTCTACTATGACAAGCCGTGGAAGCCCGTGGTGGAGATGTAAGCGCCGCCCCCCCCCCCAGCTGCTCCAGCATCCCTCCTCCCAGGACAGCCTCCCCCTCGTCCCACTCTGTCTGTCCCGAGTCAGCCCCAGTGACTGAGCCCAAAGCTAAGGAGGTGTGGGCCCAGGTCTCCGTGTGAGAAAGGCCTCAGCTTGACTTGCAGACGTACACAGTGGACCCTCTGACTCTTTTGTTGTTGTTGTTCATGTTATACCAGCCTCTAACCCACTATGTAGCCCAGGCTGGCCTCGGACTTTCCATACCCCTGCCTCAGCCTTCAAGTGTTGGCATCTCTTGTGCCGCTACCCCTGGATTACAGTTTTTCTTCTGACCCCTGCTCTGCTGTCTATGGTTTCCCTCCATCCTCCTCGCTCCCGCATCTGTCCTCACCTGGAGCAATGTCTGTGTGTCCATGAGTGGTTGTGGGGTTTCAGAGGATGGGTAGGAGTTTGTCAGGCAGGTATGGCAATGAAGGCACAGTCACACTGAGACCCCATGACACTCAGAGACAGGTACAGTTGCACACACCTGTGATCCTAGCACTCAGGAAGCTGAGGCAGAAGGATTGCAAGTTTGAAGCTAGTCTGGGCTACACTGCAAGACTCTGTCTTAGAGAGATTATCCTGAGCCGGGCGGTGGTGGCCCACGCCTTTAATCCCAGCACTCGGGAGGCAGAGGCAGGTGGATCTCTGTGACTTTGAGGCCAGCCTGGGCTACAGAGTGAGTTCCAGGACAGGCAACAAAACTACACAGAGAAACCCTGTCTTGAAAAACCAAAAGAAAATAAAAGAATATCTTGGGGGAACGCTGTATGGAGGCTAAGCATCTGCAAACTTTTCCCTAACCGCGCAGGGGTCTGGGAAGTGTGTGTGGCTGGCTGGGGAAAGCTTTGGTAGCTACAACTTCTGCAGTTCCTGGAAGCTGCAAGTCAAGTCTCTTCACCCCCTGAGGATCTGAGGCTGTGAGGACCGCCCTCACTACAGGCTCTCTTTGGAACAGGATTCTGCTTCTGTCACTCAGATGGCTTTAAGACAGCATCTCATGTAGCCCAAGCTGGCCACAGACTCTCCTCATGCTTCACCTCCCCAAGTGCTGTGACCCCAGGCATGGACTGCCAGGCTTTCCGAAGCCTTGGAATCCTCTCTAGGTGACTGAAAACGCAGTGCTAGGTACCTGCTCCTTATGCTGCCTCGCTCAGGAGGCGGTGGCATCCCCCGAGGCCCGAGCACTCCTTCCCCATATAGACGCACCCTGCCTGTCAAGGTTGGCTCTATGTCTGCATGTTCAGGTTGTTCTGATCCTCAGCTACTGAGGGAAATTCGGTCCTAAAATGAGAAGCTCAGTTCAGCATTCAGATGTCACATTTGGCTCAACCCACAGATGTCAGGGTGGCTCCAGTCCTTGGGTGCAGACCTAAGATTCAGGGAAGTATCCACAGACATCACCCAGAATCTATCAGGGATAGACAGGCAGGGTTCTGTTTGCGTGGGGGGGGGGGAGCGCGAGTGCTTTCTTAGCTTCATGAAGCCCTTTCTCACCATTCCGTAACCAGGCACCATGGGTGCACACCTGTCGCCCCAGCAGTGAGGAGGTAGAGTCAGGGGGATTAGGAGTTCAAGGTCAGCCTGGGCTAGGCTACAGAACAACAAACAAAAGCCAAACACGCAATACAGTAAAAGTTTTTGTACTCTAAGCTCCTGGGCCCCCTTTTCAGGGAGGACCGTTGTTCACAATGGCTGGACTGCCCTCTCCTCTGCTCTCCCCCATTCTTTGCCCACACCTCTCGTCGGGGTGACCCCCAGTGGTGGCCTCCCGTGGAACCTCAGCTTGTGTCTCAGGTGGAAGAACGGGATTCTAGAGGAAATCATGAACGCTGAGTACGTGATCACGGAGGTCAACGGGATAACCACCTACACCTACTCCCTGACGGCGGCCACTGCGAACTGCCGATCGCAGCCTCAGAACTGGAGCACCTTTAAGTCAGACTTTTACTTTTTATTCGAAGGAACCCTCTGGAACAGAGAGGTAAGTGGGTCCCCCCCACACCCCCAGGCCTCCCTGGTGTCTGCTGGCCATTGTATCACTGCGGAGTTGGGGGCTGGAGGATCCACTTCAAAGCAAGTTCAAGGCCAGCCTAGGCTACATCTTGCCAAGAGACCCAGGAAGGGTGGAGGGAGGAGGTTGGGAGGGTGAGGAGGCCTGCAGGGGTTTCCTTAGGAATTCAGTGGAAGAGATGACTTGTACTGTGTGAAGGACAGAGGCTGAGGGCCAAGGTCATCCAGAATGGCATCCCTCTCTGTCCACAGAACTACATCAGCTGCCATGAGGAGAACAAGGACAACCCCCTGCTGTGGCCAGAGGTTGAGTATCAGATCTTAGGTGGCCAGACAGACAATAGGGTTATTTTTGGCCAAAGAAATGGAATCTATACCTTCCTTCTGTCTGTGGTGGATCCATACTACAGGTGAGTGAGGGGGCACTGTGGCTGGGGGATGCCAAGGAGAGGCACACAGGCTTGGTGTCCGAGTGATCTGGCAGATTCCGGGTATGGTGATGCATGTCTGTCATCCCAGCAACGGGGAACTGGACAGCCACAGGAGGATCAAGAGTTCAAGTCTATCCTCCGCTACATAAATAAATGGTTTCAGGCCAGCCTGGGCTACATGAGATTAGGGTCAAAACTCACACAGCAGCAGCTTGTGGCTGCGGTCTGGGCCGCTGGCTTTCACTAAAGCCCCCCCCCCCCACAGGCTGTTTGTCCTCCCGTGCAGGCCACACCTGCTCTCCCGCCATTCTCTTGACAGCATCAGTTTTTCCTTCAAACGCTGATGTGATTGTCCTTAGAATTACCCCCAAACCCCCAAACCAAAGCAAACCAAAAGCACTTCTTAGTACCAACATGCAAGAGAAAGTCGTCTGTGTGAAGGGGAGCGCGTACCCATGACAGCCTGTCTACTGCCCCTGCAGCTACTGCAGCCTGGAAACCATGTTCAGCGTCTACGTGGATGGCGCCCTACCCATGGCGTTCTTCTCACCAGAGCTCAGCATCACCCTGCTGGTCTTCACGACACTGCTGAGCACGTGGCTGGCCTATGCCATCCCCAAGGAACTGGGCACGGAGAGGGGCCAGCGCCTCAGGAACTTCTGCTCCCGGCTGTTTGAGGGCTGCCTGGGGCTCTGCAGATGCAGCTGGCTGTGGAGCAGGCTGTGGAGCAGGCTGTGGAGCAGACTGAAGCTGTGGTTGCGCTCCAGGAGGGTGGGGGACCAGCCAGAGAGAATCCCAAGACCACAGAGAAACCAGACAGACGACACAGAGGCTGTGAGGGGCCTCTGACCTCCATGTGGCCTCTCGTCCCAATAAATTGTTAATAATAAAGAGTGACCAGGTAGTGTCCATGCCAACCAGGCGCTCCATCCCTGACCATGCCCCACCCTGACCATGCCCCACCCTGACCATGCCCCACCCTGACCACGCCCCCACCCCTGACCACACCCCAGCCCCTCCCTGGGGGTTCCTACAAGGAGGGATGGGGGGGGGCGCGGGATTCCAACCCTCAATGCCCTGGTCTGCTGCAGCCTGGGTTCAGTTCCTGAGACGGGGAAGGGATGTAGGCTGGAAAAAATGAATTGTCCGACCGCCAGATGAGTTTCACACAAGTGGCCAGCCCTGAATAGCTCCAGCTGTCTTTATTTACGCATCAAAAACAAGCATGGTTTTCCACACTAACACACAAGTTTTTCCCATCCTCCAGTGTTAACCTCCGGTAAAAACAAATATGTTGAACATGTTTTTTCCCAACTTTTACATCAAAACATCTTTAAACCAAAACAACACTTAATCATGTTTGCAAGCTTGGCCCAAACTCAGGCCAGGTACATCCTGTCTTTACAAAACCAAAAGGTGATTGACATAGGCTCACATTTTCAAGAACAACAATCTCGTTTGAAACATATTTACAGAAATAGTGGTGATCTGCCTCTGGTCCTGTCAGCACTAAATCAGGACAGCTCTTGGGCTCTGACATGACAGCCGGCATCTCCAGACAAGAAACCTGAGAAGCATCAGATCCCAAATGGGAAAACATTCCAGAAAAAAATGAGATTTCCAGGAATGTTCACATCTGTCCCATGCATGATTGACAAAATGACACTAAAACCACCAAGAGAATCGTCAATATTAGGAGAGAGAAGTGTAGCTGAAAGTTTCCCGGTCCCACCCGGCTCCTACAGTCCCCTAGTCCCGCAGCTGCTCAGACCCAAGTAAACACACAGAGGCGTCTATCAATTAAAACTGCTCGGCCATTAGCTCAGGCTACCACTGACTAGCTCTTACACTTAACTCAGCCCATTTCTGTTAACCTGTATGTTGCCACGTGTTCTGTGGCTTTACCTGTGTGCCATCACATGCTGCTCCCTGGACTGTGGGCTGATGTCTCCTGACTCAGTCTTCCTCTTCCCAGAATTCTCCTTGTCTGTTTACCCTGCCTATACTTCCTGCCTGGCTACTGGCCAATCAGCTTTTTATTTATCAACCAATCAGAGCAATACATTCACAGCATCCAGACCATCCCACAGCAGCAAAGAGAGCATGCAGGCTATGAGGCCCAGCAGTATTCTGTCTAATGGAACTTGCCAAGTGAGACTGCCCCTGTGGGCTTTTGCCTCATCTGGAGACCTGCTGGACAAACACTTACATACTAGTTTGGAACTAGGCTGCATGGTTTCCAAGACCTCACCACGCCCCCAGCCCCTCACTGGGGATTCTAGGTGGGGCTCCACCCTGACCACGCCCCCAGACCCTCACTGGGGGATTCTGGGTGGGGCTCCACCCTGACCACGCCCCCAGCTCCTCACTGGGGATTCTAGGCGGGGCTCCACCCTGACCACGCCCCCAGACCCTCACTGGGGATTCTGGGCGGGGCTCCACCCTGATCACGCCCCAGCCCCCCTCACTGGGGATTCTAGGCGGGGCTCCACCCTGACCACGCCCCCAGCCCCTCACTGGGGGATTCTAGGCGGGGCTCCACCCTGACCACGCCCCCAGCCCACTCACTGGGGATTCTAGGCGTGGCTCCACCCTGACCACACCCCCAGCCCCTCACTGGGGATTCTAGGCGGGGCTCCACCCTGACCACGCCCCCCAACCCCTCACTGGTGTGCTGCGGGCCGCAGGAATATATCATAAGAACTCAGCTGGTTATGGCAAAGTCACTACCTGGATGAATCAGGGAATTCCTCCAGAGGAAGCCAAATCCCAAGGAGTTTTTGGTGTTACTTGGCTTGTTATGTATCAGCTGTCTTCTGTTATGAAAATCATGTGTGCCTTCATAGTTTTCCCAGTTGATTTTTTTCCTAATAATTGCCAACAGTGTGGACCAATCACTCTCTGGACATACACACTCAAGGTATTTGGAGAACAGCCTCAGGAAAGGCTTCCTCTGGAATCAGATATCTCCCTTGGCCATTTTCAAGGACTAACAGAAATAACAGTCCACATGAAGGTCTCCTGACTTAAGGTAAATTCCACAAGGAGACAATGCCTAGATTAGGTAGACCTTAAGTAATAGCTTTACACAGTTCAGCTCGGACCCTCCTTTCTTACAACCTTACTAACTTTATAGACCGACCTCTAACTCCTTACCTAACCACTTCTAGGAATATTAGATAACCTTTTGTGCTAACAGCTATGCTCAGCCAGAACCCCAGTTCAAGCCTCCCTGCCAATTATTATCATTGGCAGCATCTGGCCAGGTCCATCCCCAAATGGAGGAAAGTACCTTATCAGAGATACCTCTGTACTCTCTTAAGAACAGACCCTAGTGTCCAGACTACCCGTTTGAGGAGGTCTGGTGGATGTGCCAATTAAGCTTTACTTCCTCCTTTTCCAAATCTTACCTCTAGTTCCAGATCTCCCTTTAACTATCACCAGAGGCATCTAGCTGTACACAGGTTACCTAGAGCACACTTTCCTCCATCCTGCAGAAAAAACAGCAGATAGCTTGGACAGATAAGGGTCAAAGGGATAAAAAGGCAGTTTTATTTCCAGAGGAGGATAGAACTTAGAGGTATGAGGAGATGGAGAAGAAGAGAGGAATGAAGAGCTTGAGGACAGAGAATGAAGAGGGAGAAGGAGGATTTTGACCAGAGAGAACGTGTGGATGAGAAGGAAGATGAGGAAGAGCCAGACTGGGAAGTACTAGCTGGGTAAGAACGAGATGAGAAGGACCTAGATGAGGCAGAATTAAGACGAGAGAATTAAGATAGAACTTAGAGGGAACAGTAGATCAGGCAGGACAGGAGCTGGGCACGAGAACAGAACTGGAGCTGTGTGGATAGGATGTTATCTCAGAGGAATTAAAGCAGGTGGACTGAAGAGCTTGGTGTGCTGAGATTCATTTCCCGAAAATAGTCCTCGCTGCTAGTAGTTCTCTCTCCTGAGCCCCCTGGGAAGTGTATTATTAAGGCAGGTCCTTTTAATATTAAACAAGACTGGAGACTGGGGGATTCTAGGCAGGGGCTCCACCCTGACCACGCCCCCAGCCCCTCACTGGGGGATTCTAGGCGGGGCCCCACCCTGACCACGCCCCTAGCTCCTCACTGGGGATTCTAGGCGGGGCTGCACCCTCACCACGCCCCCAGCCCCCTCACTGGGGATTCTGGGCGGGGCTCCACCCTCACCACGCCCCCAGCCCCCTCACTGGGGATTCTGGGAGGGGCTCCACCCTGACCACGCCCCCAGCCCCTCACTGGGGGATTCTAGGCGGGGCTCCACCCTGACCACGCCCCCAGCCCCCTCACTGGGGACTCTAGGCGGGGCTCCACCCTGACCACGCCCCCAGCCCTCACTGGGGACTCTAGGCGGGGCTCCACCCTGACCACGCCCCCAGCCCTCACTGGGGACTCTAGGCGGGGCTCCACCCTGACCAC